GCCATACCAATATGGTTACAAGAGCGCAATTATTCGTAATGAATTTTCCATAGGGTACCACTGGTGTTCCGTATTTTTTTTCTCAAAGACTACACAAACTAGGGAACGGATTGCAGTTCCTGTTACTAGAAATGCCAGTGTTGCATTACAGCTAAAAAAAATATATAGGGTCATGCGGCAGAAATTGACTTAAAATGCAGTTGAAAAAGATCGTCTATTTTTTTCGCTTAATGAAAAATGCATATTTTTAATGGCTCCGACGTGCAGAAATGGAGGATATTTTCTATACTTCGTAAAATGTGAATATGATTTTCTGCAATTTTTAAACCTAATTGGATAAGCTTTCGATTAAATGTAATTCCAATCCTGTATCATCCAATCAGAAGCCGTATAGGATTCTATTCTGAGTACCATCTTGGGGTAAAAAACTTGCCGGTAAAATGTAAACAAATAATTGCGCTCTTGTAACCTATACGGTAATGAAAAAAAATTCTGTAAATTAAGCGCCCGCGCTAAATGAAGCGCTAGCGTCTATCTAGATAAAATCACGTCTTCAAAACATTATCTGATCACTCTCTGAATTTTGAGAATTAGTTTTTGCCCGCCGATCGGCCCAAAAATTTGAACTGATTTTTTCACCAAATACGGTACTGTTCAAAAAGACATGAAGATAACATTTATTTACTGGCCTTATTTTTCAAAGGTCATCCAGCACTGATCATATTGTCGACAAAACCGTTCTGATATGGAAAAGCTACATCGAATTTTGAAGAATGGCTTTAAATGAAACCATTTCTTGAAAAAACACGTTTTTGAAACAGACTATAGTTTTTCCCCCAATTTTGAAAATATGATAATATTACTACTTTGGCAAGAGAAACTATTCTTGGACTACAATATTCAATGCCAAGATTAATTTTTCTACTTTGCAATTTAACTAAATCGTTGGTGTTTGCTTAGGGACCCTTTTGGTCAATTTTCACCAAATTAGCTTTTTGCTAGAATAGCAACTGAGTCACGATCATTATGGTTAAAAACCAAAATGAATCTTCAAATTCAAGATATACTCATGCTTTTCCCCATAAAAACAGTAGATATCACAAAACCGTTCTATTCTCTTCATACTTTGTCGACATTCGAGCCCACTCTAGATTTAGATATGGAAATCAACACAAATAGGAAACAGACTATAGCTTGAATTTACGTCGATGAAAAGTCCATTTGACCCCATTTCTCGCTGTTTTACATTTTTTCCGAGCAAAATGACTATTTTCAACATTTTTCAAAGCCTTATTTAAAAAAAATGTCTTTTTTCTATAGGTTACAAGAGTGCAATTATTCGTAATGAATTTTCCATAGGGTACCACTGGTGTTCCGTATTTTTTTTCTCAAAGACTACACAAACTAGGGAAAAACAGATTGCAGTTCCTGTTACTAGAAATGCCAGTGTTGCATTACAGCTAAAAAAATATATAGGGTCATGCGGCAGAAATTGACTTAAAATGCAGTTGAAAAAGATCGTCTACTTTTTTCGCTTAATGAAAAATGCATATTTTTAATGGCTCCGACGTGCGGAAATGGAGGATATTTTCTATACTTCGTAAAATGTGAATATGATTTTCTGCAATTTTTAAACCTAATTGGATAAGCTTTCGATTAAATGTAATTCCAATCCTGTATCATCCAATCAGAAGCCGTATAGGATTCTATTCTGAGTACCATCTTGGGGTAAAAAACTTGCCGGTAAAATGTAAACAAATAATTGCGCTCTTGTAACCATATACGACCACAAAAATTTTTTTGCGGTCGTATAAAAATGGCACAATTAACTCCTCTACCACTTTACTTTTTGACTTTGCGCTTAGGCAATATCCTTTATCCTTTTCTTTATATTTACAAGTAATAGAAATAGGCAAAAAAATGTTTTATTTGTATAGGCTTTATAGTACATTTTACCCCAAGAATTTTTTTTTTTGTCAAATGGATTCAATATGGTTATAAATAAGAGTTATCTCCCCAAAAGTGTCAGGTTTTTTTTTAAATTGATATGCAGGTTTTTTCTGCATATCTATTATTTTGAAAACTGTTACACTACATTTTAAAAGGTTATTGAAAGTCAAAATCTGATTAATCAAGATTGTACTTTTGGCCAATAAGACCTAGTAATTCAATGACAGCTGTTTTATTAAAGCTTTTGAAACTCAGCTAAACAAAACGTCATTCAACCTTATTACAGGAACAAGAGATGAACAACACAACCTTTTTTCAGTTAACAAAGTTTATATGGTATTTTTCACACAAAATAATGAAGGACATCTATTCCTGCATATGTGGTACTTACCTTTGAATGGCATCATCAAAATATTTGATAGCTTTCTTAGCATCTCTTCCACTCATCATTTCTATCCATCCTTTAAGGGTTAAACCCTGTAATAGAAATGTACTAATAGAAATTACATTACTACATAAGAATTTGTCATTCCACTATATTTATCTAATATTAAGTGAAATTGCTATCAGCAAGTGTATTTTGACTCTTAGTACCAGTTTAAGCAAGCACAGTTCAACTGTTTCCAAATTATGTGTTGTCTCCTATGTCTTTGTTTAAGTTATCCATTTTGTTGAAATCCGACTACTTTCTATATGTATAGTGTGTTTTATTTTTAGGACAGTAAGTAAGTTGATGGATTTTGGTAGTAATGAGTAACTGAAAAACTGTGTGTGCCTCAAAAATTCAAAGTACTGTGAATTCATTATTATTCATGAGGTGCCAATTTTCGTGGCTTGTTTATTGACTTTGGCAAAACAATGAAATCAAATATCCGCGAAAATGTAAAATTTCCTCAATCCACAAAATTTGGTACCCAAGAAAATAAATGAAATCCACAGTATCTTAATGATATATTGCTCTTTATTTCTTCTTTTTTGTCTATTTTTTTCTTTTTAGGATGAGTTGGCTTGAGGTAGTTGTTCCAATTTGCAGTCCAATACTTTTGCTAATTCCTCTCTATCTTTATATTTTCACAAAAAGATAAAAATGCTCTAGTATTGTACTTGTTTGTTGACTTTGGCAAAACCATGAAATCAATTATCCGCGAAAATGTAAATTTTCCTCAATCCACAAAATTTGGTACCCAAGAAAATAAATCAATCCACAGTATCTTAATGATATATTGCTCATTATTTCTAATCTTTTGTCTATTTTTTTCTTTTTAGGATGAGTTAGCTTGAGGTAGTTGTTCCAATTTGCAGTCCAATACCTTTGCTAATTCCTCTCTGTTATTTTTATATTTTTACAAGAAGATAAAAATGCTCTAGTATTGTGCTTGTACTAATTACAAAGTTCAATAAAATGCTTCGCTGGGGCGCAGCTTGATACGACCGCAGAGGTCGAACCCTGAACAGTTGGGGCAAGTATGGACACAACATTCAAGCTTGATACAGCTCTGAATTTGGATTGTTATTAAATATTTGACACAGCATAGGTTTCTGACACAGAAAGAATGTGGTCTAAGAACTTGAATTTTTTTAATTTACCTATTATGGTCCAATGTCCAAAATCAAAATACATGGTTAGATTCAGCATATCAAAGAACCCCATATATTCAATTTTTGTTAAAATCAAACAAAGTTTAATTTTGGACCCCAACTTGGACAAACTTGAAAACTGGGCCCATAATCAAAAATCTAAACACATGTTTAGATTCAGCATATCAAAGAACCCCAAGAATTCAATTTTTGCTAAAATCAAACTAAGTTTAATTTTGGACCCTTTGGACCTTAATGTAGACCAATTTAAAAAACGGGACTTAAAATTAAAAATCTAAATACACGGTTAGATTTGGCATATCAAAGAACCCCAATAATTCAATTTTCGATGAAATCAAACAAAGTTTAAATTTGGACCCTTTTGACCTCAATATGAACCAATTTGATAGCGGGGCCTACAAATAAAAAATCTAAATACATGGTTAGATTCAGCATATCAAAGAACCTCATATATTCAATTTTTGTTGAAATCAAACAAAGTTTAATTTTGGACCCCAATTTGGACCAACTTGAAAACTGGGCCCATAATCAAAAATCTAAATACATGTTTAGATTCAGCATATCAAAGAACCCAATATATTCAATTTTTGTTGAAATCAAACAAAGTTTAAATACTGGACCCTATCTTGGACCAACTTGAAAACTGGGCCCATAATAAAAAATCTAAACACATGTTTAGATTCAGCAAATCAAAGAACCCCAAGAATTCAATTTTTGTCAAAATCAAACTAAGTTTAATTTTGGACCCTTTGGACCTCAATGTAGACCAATTTAAAAAACAGGACCCAAAATTAAAAACCTAAATACACAGTTAGATTTGGAATATCAAAGAACCCCAATAATTCAATTTTAGATGAAATCAAACAAAGTTTAATTTTGGACCCTTTTGACCTCAATATGAACCAATTAGATAACGGGGTCCACAAATAAAAAATCTAAATACATGGTTAGATTCAGCATATCAAAGAACCCCATATATTCAATTTTTGTTGAAATCAAACAAAGTTTAATTTTGGACCCCAATTTGGACCAACTTGAAAACTGGGCCAAAAATCAAAAATCTAAATACATGTTTAGATTCAGCATATCAAAGAACCTCATATATTCAATTTTTGCTAAAATCAAACAAAGTTTAATTTTGGACCCTTTGGACATTAATGTAGACCAATTTGAAAACTGGACCCAAAATTAAAAATCTAAATACACTGTTAGATTCGGCATAACAAATAAATAAATGTGATCAAAGATTTTACAAATCTAATGCGCCATACTGTGCAATTAAAGATTACTTCTTGAAATTTTTCAATATTTGAAATTTGAAAAAAAAAATAATATTTGAAGAATAATTCTTTTTAATTTCTGAAATCTAAAATGAGAAAAAATTGGCCACCCACAATTTCTTTTTATCCCCTCCCCCCCTTTTTCCCCCAAAAAAAATCTTTCCCTCAAGATATGATTATAATCTCAATTCAAATTTCCAATGGAGTTGGCAACCATAATTACCCATTTAAATTTACCATCGTGCTAACTTAATCTATTTTATAATAGAATTAATAAAAATATAGTGTCAAATCTTTCATATGGATTTTTTTGTAAAAAAAAAAAGATGAAAACATTTGCAGATATTTTTACTGGTCTTCCTTTATAAATATGCATTTCTTTAAACATAATTTAAAAGCAGTGTAAGGGAAGTAACCAAAACGTTGTATTTGGATTACCTCCCTTACACTGTTTTAGATTATCTTTATTGTTCATTAACCATTACTTTATACATAATTTAAAAGCAGTGTAAGGGAGATAATTTCAATGATGTATTTGATTTATCTCCATTACACTGCTTTAAATTATGTTTTGTACTAAAGTATTTGTCCATTAACCAGGACAACCTTGTTTTTCCCCCTTTTTTGCCCCTAATTCCTAAACGGTTTGAGCCATAACCCCCCAAAGCAAATCCTAACCATCCCTTTGTGGTATGGAAACTTGTAGTATAATTTCAGAGAGATCCATACACCGTTCCACAGTTATTGTCTGGAAACTAGAAAATGCTCATTTTTGGCCCCTTTTTGGCCCCTAATTCCTTAACTGTTGGTACCATAACCCCCAAAATCAATCCCAACCTTCCTTTTGTGGTATTTAACCTTATGGTCAAATTTCAAAAAGATCCATTCACTTAAACTAAAGTTAGAGTGCGAAAACCAATATGTATTCGGACGACGACGCCAACGTCATACCAATATACGACCACAAAAATTTTTTGCGGTCGTATAAAAATTTCATTGCAAATACAATAGTTTACTTTAAAAACATAATAAATTTCTAAATAGATCTGAAATAGAAAACATGTCTTACAAAAACAAGAACTTGAACAAACCTCTTTCGTGACTTGCATCTTTAACATTCTGTCAATGTATTCTCTTGCTTTGTCATATTTACCATTGTGGAATAGAAATAATGCAGCATAATATAGACCCTGAAATACATAGAAAAAAGCACATTAAAAGATATAAAAGAGTCTTTTCAGGAATACTGACAATCTATGATCCAAAATTATGGAATTCATTATTATTATTTTTTTCAATTTATAAGCTTTTTTTATTTTCATTATAGTATGAACCATACTAAATACTGTGATATTTTCAGATATCAATCATGTTTCTTTTCTTATTCTCTTTGAAAAGTCTGTCAAAATATCATTTGTATTAGTAAGGCTAGAACTTCTGAATTTCTTAATATAAATAGCTTAAAAAGGGGAAATAATTTCATTACTGAATTGTGTAACAAATTTTACAATAGTAGGTTCTTATAATTCAATTTTTCAATACTAATTTCTTTAAAAAAAAAATCTGTTTAATTGGTATATTCTGGTTATTGATTCAAGACCTGTATGAAAAACACAAATTTTGGTTGGTTTTTAAATGTGTCATTTCATAGATTATATAAACATAAAAAAGCAACTGATCCTTATCACAGAAAAATTAAACTTGTTAAAATAAATAAAAAAAATTAAGAATTTCTGCTAGTTTATACATTTCTAAAGAATGTTTTTATATAGCAAACGATTGATTATCTTTATATTAGACTTCAAAATGTAGAATTTCTTCTCTTAACACTTAATTCATAACAATAATGTATTCATACAAGATCCTGATGAAGGATTTCAAAAACATTAAAATATGTTAAAACATTGTAAAACAAAAGAGTCAAAAGATTCATTTTTTTCTTTCTTGAATTTACCATTTCACCAGACTGTTTTCTTTCTTCTTTCAATTTAGCATCCAGTTCTTGTAAAGCTTCTCTGTCTACAAAATGAAAAAAAAAGAATTATAAAATACACACACAATTTCACTGGGAAAAAGAAATCTAGACTGGTACAGTGAGCTGTACATTTAGCATGCTAGCTAACAAAGTAACAGTCTACAAAAAGAGATGTTATCCTACTGGGACACATTGTGCATTCTACACAATTCCTACATTTTGTATCCAAATTTGCATTATATTTCGGTATAACTTATCTTTATGTGTTAACAATTGTGTTTAAAGTATTTATTCATCAGGGGAACTAAAGAATTTGCTATTGTTTAATTAAATGAGTTTTACACTGTTTATTTGAGTTTACAGCATGCTTTTTTCAGAGTTGACAAAGTATCAGCAAAAATAAAACTGATTATCAGAATTTTTAGGACTGATCAGATACCTTATACATCATTCTAACAATGATTCAACAGGCAAGAATACCTTGGACGTTAAATTCATATATACAGTCCGCCAAAAGTTAAGCACCACCTAAATATAACTGTCAATATTTTTTTAACTATTGCGAAAAAAATATTTATGTTTGGTGTTATGAATTGCCTATAGCATACACTAAGAAAATTCATTACGACCAAAAAAAAATAAACTCCGATATACCCGCCAAGCAACCTTTTATTAAAGGTCATCTGCACTTTTACAAATACACTGTTTCGATGCCTTTAAATCATCTCCCTACTGTCCCGCGTACAGGTGAAATCTGACCTTCACCAAGTCACTGTGAAATATGGCAAGCGGTAAGTTATCTGTGACTGAACGTTGACAAGCAATTGACATGTCAAATGCCAGTAGGAGCACTAGGAGCATTGGTAACCATTTCAATGTTAATCGCACCGTCATTATCAGATTTTAACAACGTCATATTGACACAGGAACTGTAAATGATAGACCAAGGTCCGGAAGACCCCGTTTAACTACCTATCGTGATGACAGACTACTTATTGGTCATGCTAAAGCCAACCCATTTACTCCTACCCCATAGCTTAGACACCACTGGCCTCCAGGTGGTGGTGTTAGTGTTCGAACAATGGTCCGTCGACTTCATAGAGGCTACCTAAGAGCACATTGTGTTGTCAAAAGACGTGCCCTAACAGCCAGGCACCGTATAATCAGGTTTAAAAGGGCTAATGACCATCGACGATGGAACATGAGAACCTGGCAAAATATTCATTGGTCAGATGAGAGTTGGTTTCTGTTACGACCAATAGACGGCAGAATACGAGTTTGGCGGGGAAATAAAACTGCCTATCACCAAAACAACAATTGCCCAACGACAGCAATTGTTGATGGTGGTGTTACAGTAAGGGGTTTCTTCTCATACTGTTGTAAGCTGGGTATGCATATTTTGCAGGGTAACATGAACAGACAGACATACAGGGATTTGGTGCTTAGAAACATTGTAGTCCCTCATTTTGAGAATTCCCAACTTGCGTCAAGACCCTCATACATGGACGACAACGCTAGACCACACAGGGCAAGGATTGTAACCGATTACAAAGATCAAGAAGCCATTGACACTATCTTTTGGCCTTCCATGTCTCCAGACCTGAACCCTATCGAACATGTCTGGGATGCCATTGGCAGAAATCTCAATCGCAGAGATCCACCTTTGCAAAATCTTGGCGATTTAAGAGGAGCAATTGTTGATGAATGGAATAAATTTGCTCCACTAAAGTTCAGAAGGATTGTACAGAATATGAGACGCCGTGTTATGGAACTGTACCGGAAGAGAGGTGGTTACACATCCTATTGACATAAACATTGACATTAAATTTGCCGAACATACCAAAGATTATTTGTAGAGACTTTTAATGATTTTGGGTGATTAATTGTTGTAAAAAAATAAATTCAAAGTAAAACTTAAATTCCGTTTCTGATATGTGTAATTTTCACTATTTCCAAGAACACAAAATTCAAATGCATAGAACCTGCATCAGTGACCAAACTTAAGTTTATGGTTTGTTTATGGCATATGTTAGCAAAATTGCTACATGAATATTTTCTCTTTTTCAAGGATTAACTGTTTTTTTAAATGAAAAAAAATTCGATGCAACAAAGATAGGTGGTGCTTAACTTTTGGCGGACTGTATATACTTGTCTAGAAGTCTTTACCCAGTATTCTGGGCCTTTTTCAATTTCTTGTTCTATGATTTTTTGATTGATTGTGTTAAAAGCCACTTTTAGCAAGCTTGGCTTTATCATGGAAGCCAGTCTTTATTGGTAAAAGAAGCATGAGTATCCCGAGAGATTCATGGACTTTCCACATGAAAAGAAGCATGAGTATCCTGAGAGATTCATGGACTTTCAACATGAAAAGAAGCAGGAGTATCCCTAAACATTCATGGATTTTCAACATGAAGGGAAGCAGGAGTATCCTGAGAGATTCATGGACTTTCGACATAAAAACTAGCAATTAAAATTGGAGTCAAAGACACCTCGGGGAAGTGAGGTTTAAACTTAAAACCTCAGTGTGACAGTCTAGAGATCACTGTAGATGAACAACTTAGACCACTAAACCACCAAGGCCCCTCTTCTTGTTCAATGAATCATCTACGCAAACAAAATTTTGGCTCATTTCTTTAAAAGCAAATTATTTCATCTAACATACCAACAATCTGACTATATGTGTGTCTTAACATCTAACATACCAACAGTCTGACTATTTGATCCCTTACATATAACATACCAACAGTCTGACTGTATTTATGCCCTAACATCAATGTCATTGTTGCTGCCAGATTGACATCTCTTTTGTCTTTTAAAACATCCAGTTCTCTCATTCCCTCCTGTACACGTCCTGAAAAAGTTAATAAATAGAATAATCTCCATCTAACAGAATTGATCTCAAAACAAAAATTAAGAACTGCCCTGTAACTTCTGAAAAATTTCTTCATAGACAAGAGGTATATCATTTATGTTCCTAATTCTTATACTCTATTTTTCTAACTTACAATTCTTAGCTAACCTATTAATAACCTATAATCATGATCCATAAAAAAATTTGCTGAGATGATCTGTGTAGATGACTGAACAATTTTTTTTTCTCTGAATTACTGCATGTTTTTTTGCAAAGTAGATCCGGCTTAATCCTAACATTACATATTTTAACTAGTAGACTGACAAATGACTGATCTCAGCTTAAATTAAATTTCAATTGGAGTCAGTTTTAAACCAAGTACATCCAACATATATAATATAGGAAAGCATCTTAAAACTGACTTTGCATACATGTATGTTGTTCCGTAGCAATAACACTATGTGTATATAGTTCATCCAAAAAGTATGCTTTCAACCCAAATGTGTTAAACATCTGTATATCAATTCCATTTTGACTTTAAAATGAGATCTAATGTAGAGTTGCTAAAAATAATACATATTTGCCAAAATTTAGAATATAAATGAAGTTACTAAGAATTGATACTTGATTTCTATTATTTGAGATTATGAATTAAGGAATAAAATGATTGAATATAAATTTCTCTTTTACTACTGGTGTTAAAATGTGTCAGAGGAATGTTTCCCCAATACACTGATGACATAATTTACAGTAATCCTGGAAATATTTTTTTTTCTGTACCCTTATGCTTTTCTAAATGAAATATGATCCAATATAATAATAGTAACAGTGGCGGATCCAGGGGGAGGAAACTGGGGGTTGGACCCCCCTTTTTTTGATGATCAATGCATTTGAATGGGGACATATAGTTGGAACCCCCCTTTTTTTGACGATCAATGCATTTGAATGGGGACATATAGTTGGAACCCCCCTTTTAAAAATGGCTGGATCTGCCCCCGAGTAAGCAGCTGTGCAAAGAGCTCATAATATGTCTCTTATTGTGCATATTGAAATTGTTGCCAGAATAAATGGAATTTTTTAATTGTAGAACATTATATATATATGAAAAATAGATTTATAAAACGACATTTTCAATTTCTTCACTTGTATCAGGCTATCAGCTCCTGACTCATCTTAAGCTGCTGAGAGTCACTGGAAAGGCAATGTTCTAATCTATAACTAACAATAACAAATTTCCTCTTTGACTCTATGCTTACCTTGTAATATTATAGCATATGCCTTTAAATATTTGAGTATTACGTCATTGCTGTATTTTTGTAGTCCTTCCGAGGCAGCATTTTCCATATGACAATAGTATCTTTCACGACAATAGTAATTTATTTTGCCCTGAAAAACAAAACAAAAGTAAATAAAAATAAAATCATTTGTTACTTTTCATACAGGTGAATAAAAGTTATGTGTGAATGTGACAGAAATAACCTGAAAATTAAAAAAAAAGACTTGTAAAAATGAATATTTTCTTTGAATATCCTCAATTGTGTTCTAATTTAAACACAAGAAGCTAGTGAAAATACTAAAAGCTATCAATGGCTCTTGAAATCAAAGCTGCTCAATTTCAAACACAAGAGGTTGTCAAAATAACAGAAAAACAGTGTTTTATTACATTTATTAGTGTAATTGGTAAAAATAAGAGTTCACTGCAGTGAGAATCTTGTGGTGGCTATCGATCTAAACAAAATTCGAAATATCAAAAATAAATCTAGAAGAATGAAATCAACACAGCAGATGTATGAATATAAGATGCAGAAGTTGGTGTCTATTTTTCTCATACTTATGTTTGTTAAGGAACTCTGATTTCATTGATTTCATTTTTTTGAATTGATCTACATTTTTTTCGTCAACAAATGACATGAATGACATCTTCTAAAGTTATTTTCTATTCTCGGATATTTAACTGATACATGTGCATGTTAATCAAAACCACAAGCCAAAAGGAAACATCATTATTGTCTAAACTAAGTGTAACGTAAGAAAGTATTGTGTCCTCATGTATCACAGCAGATGCACACCTTATGGCAATAAAATGACTTTTGTTGAATAATCTTTTCAAAAACAAACTTCTGTCATGTCTGTCATCCATGTAATGCATATTTATGTTTTTAGACGAAATTGACTGTGGCCAAAACGACCCATGTCTGAACTGGTTGTGTGGATGACAAGACCTTTGGCCTAGGTTGTGTGGCCAATTTATATTAACGTCTCAAAAGCAATCTTATTGTCCTTCAGATATTTTTTTATGAACAGACTATAGTGTGCAAAGTGTCAAAATAATATACTTGTGTCATTAGTTTTCCTGGATTTACAGTAGAATTGCTCTTGAACATAAATGATTTTTAAATGTTATAAACTATACAAATATTGAAAAATCACAAGGACCATGAGACTGTTAAGAGATGAGGAGAATATAAGATCATGCTGCTGTGCTATTGCAAACATTAATTTTTCCTTTCTCAATTGCCTCTCCATAGCCAACCATTCTGAAAATTATAACGACAACATTTGTATTCTGACAATAACTATGTCTGTTAGAAAAGGGGGAGGTGAAATAACTGGATTGTTATTGTTATTTCCAGGATACATCTTATACTTAAAAGAACAACATATATATTACTGGGCCAATATGTGAACGTTTCTAGACATACAATTATCACAGGATCTATGTCCGTCATGTTTGCAGCTTCTAATGTAATGAGTTTTGGTGTGAATATGGAAGTTTTCTTCGAATAGTTGTGCCAATTGGAATTTTTGAATGCGCATGCATGCCGCATAAGTTTTTCTTCCGGGGTCAACGAAATCGAGAGAACTGTAATAAAAATTATAGAATCGATTTCCATTAAAAAATTTACCTTTATTTTCAATTTGACAAATCAAAATCATGCTTAATATTATTTTATTAAAATATAAAGTTGCATATGACAATAAAATTTCTATAATATGGAAATGAATATCTTTTATTAGTTCTTTTAAAACATCAAGAACTTACGGGTTCGTATCCGGTGACCTTTTATTTTCGCACCATGACAATTACTTCAACAAACGCATGCGGCGAACTTTAAATATATATTTGGGTATATTTAAACTCCTACCTGAGTTAAATGTGAGGTATTAAGGTAGGAAAATGTCCGTCGAATTAGATCCAAACCGTGGACCCCTAACTCTTCATCATGACAGTAAGTTTTGGTTTTTCCTGCATTTTTTTAAGTGCAAAAGGTTGTACACATGAGCATTTTTTTATCAACTGTGTGCAGTAACAGTGGTGTCATGTAGTTTAGCAGTCAATTTCACTCAAATTGTATATTTTTTTTACATATATTTATAAAATAAATTGATTTCAAGATATAATTTTACTGCATATTATTTTTATGAATATTTTAGGTTAGCCAAATTATTTTATTTATTTTTATTTAGGTGCCTTTTATTTAAGTTTGTCAATTTTCATTAAATGAAATTTGATATTTATTTTATTTATTTTTATTTAGGTGCCTTTTATTTAAGTTTGTCAATTGTCATTAAATGAAATTTGATATCCAATTCCTCAGTGTTGTGAAAGGGAACTTCTCAAGCGAAGGTTTATGCCAGCTTGGAATTATTTTTTCCTCTACAATGTTAACTCTGTTGTTAATTTTAAATGATTGATCATGAGTTATGCCGAAAAATGTATAAAAGTTCTATTTTTTCTTTTACTTTAATTAATCTGTCATCTATGAGATTTTTAACTTACATATTATTATAACCTAAAACTGTAATCTAAATGCTTTTATTACTTTTTTTTTTTAGATTTACCTATACTTATAATTACAGTCATGTGTAATTCATTTTTGAAGAAACTATTTGGAAATGCAACTAATTGCTTTCCACAAACGATATCAAATACAAGGTCTTAAATTACTTCAAGTAGTGAAAATGTTTTTAAATGATTTGGATAAAAATTTAGAAATTGAATAAAATGTTGAGATTATTTATAGATCATGAAAGTAATGTGGGTACTGCAACTCATAATTATTATTCAATTTGAAATTTTACCAACCACTAAACATTCTTAAAATTATGATAGTAATTAAGTTTTGGGATTTTAAACAATTACTTTACTTTAGTTTAAATTTAATTCCACTTTGACCCATTTAGAAATTATTTCAGAATTTAAAAGAAATCACCTTTGCCTGCCATATTAACATGATTGAATTCTAAAAGAATTATATTATATCAGAGACATATAAGACATTATATGCACAGTCTAGTATATTACAGGAAGTACTTGATTTTTTATTTGTAAGAATAAATCAATTTAATGGTTACATTATTGTAACTAACACATATTTTTGTTTAAAGAAATAATTGAAATACCAGTAGTTGTACATGTACATACAATTAAGATGCTTTTTGACTCTGTAGAGCTCATCTTATGTATACCAGAAGTGCTGAATGGTCAGTAAAAAAGATAAATTAGATACAATCCTGTCAAAAATCTTATGTTTTTCACATCTTGATAAGGCCATGGAAAAATGAATGTTGGTTTCCCCTAACATGTGAATATTATCAAGGCCCGGCAGGCAGGAAAAACTTTTATTTTATGTTGTTTTTTTGTGAAAAATCGGTTTTACAAAACAGAGAATGTTTTTTGTTAATTCTTGTTTTACATTCTATCTTGTGGTATAAGCTATATAAACTAAAGGAATGATAATTGTCATAATGTTGACACACTTTTAAATGATTATCAGACAATTTTAAATAAAAGCATCATTGAAAATTGTCAAAAGATACCAGAGCAACTCTTTTTTTTTCCTCTGCCCAAAAAAAAGAAAAGAAAAAAGGATTGACCCGGAGTGTAAAAACTGACCCGGCAGGGTTAGGGGAAACCAACAATCATTTTTGCATGGCCTAAGCCAAATTTTTTTCTATCAATGTTTTCCCCTTAATGGCATGTGTTCGAGATTTCAGTCTATATTCTACTAGGATCTTCTATTTTGACACTGTTCATCATCAGTCTATCAAAATATTCTAAATGAGTGGGACTGGGTAATCTTAGTAATGCCATCTGCTTTATTGGCTCTATTAAATTGGTCATTTTTATTATAAAACAGAATTTTGAACACCATTGAAATATATACTCTTAGTCTGTAATGGTACTTAAAGACAAACGGAGAAAAATTGCTAGGATATAGAGATTTTTGTATTCCGGAACTTTGTAAATGAATTTCCATAGTACCAAAACGATTGTTGTTTGTGTCGGTAGCACTTTAACACGTCAATGTATATCTGTATAACAATATCTAAATTTAAATCACATGTTAAACCATTAAATTGGAAACAAATTACGATCTAAACTATGTTCAAATTTTGATATCTTAACTAAGACCTTTTATAAATGACACATAGATAATCGGTCAACTTGGTAGATTTAACTCTGATACTATTGCCAGTAATATAATACACTTGGCATAATTTCTTAGGTGGTATATCTCCCTGGGTAGCTATGTTGCAGGGATACATTAGCATGTTGCATGTTTACTAGATATGGTTTTTTAAAGTTGCATCCAACAACACATTTCCTTTTAAATATTTGATTATTGATGTATTAAATTTCTTGACTTTTCTGACTTGGAATCATATTTTTAAATCTAGTTTTTAATAACAAATATTGAGAATTTGAATCAAATAGGTGAAATCGTTTATTCTTGGAATGGAAGAAGGTACTGTGGAAATTATTATTTGTTTTTTTTTGTTTTTCAAATTATCTATAAATCAATAGAACTTTTTGCTATGTTATTCTATAATTCCTATAACTAAAGCATGGATTAATATTAAGAATTTTACTGTTTAGTTAGCTTTGTTTGACATAGCTCAAAATCAATATAGTTTTAAAGGAGCTTTCTTATTTTTTTCTGTTTTTGATAGATTTGCAAATTAAATGTTCATGCATTATTTGATAGAAATAAAAATTGATTAAACTTGGTGCAGATTTTTATACAAAGTTTTGGTGTGATTTTAAGTTATTGATACTCTAATGTAAGGAAAAGTCTAAACATTAGATTTGAGCTTCTTGGACTTAGTTTTAGGTGTAAAAATATGTTTTCTCAATCTCCGGCATAACATCATATTTGTTCAATAATTCCAATGCTATCTTTATGTAACAACTTTTTTCATTGACTAAAAATAACTGTCAATTCAACAATTGACATTTCTTGGCAAGCTATTTTGAATTGCTAGAAGTCATAAATGTTCGATTAATACAATAGGATCGAAAATAAAACATAAAACTACCTCAAAAACTTTGTTTTATTGTGAATTAATCTAAATCTGAATCATACAAATAACAAAATAACCATGATAACCTCGGTTTGAAAGTTTTCCCTTTATGATATCATGTTTTGCCATGATGTTTATGTGCCAAATCATTCAGGAAATTTAGCAGAATTTTTTTTAATCTTAAATTTATACGTTTTTACAAGCTCTTATGTACAATTTCTTTTTGTAATGCATTAGAATAGAAATAACAGTACTGTAGTTGAAGACTTTGTGCCATCAATTGGAATTTGACTGTTGCAAATACCATTAAAACTGCATTTGGGACTATTACATTGCCAATAGCAATTGCAACTCTTAACTACAGTACTATTATTCTTTATTACATTGAATGTCATTGTCACATTAACAGTTATTTCCCTGAAACTGTATCAACTCCCCTCAAGCTTATATTGTACTAAAGACTTGGAAGAAGAAAAAAAATTGTCTACAAAATGTAACGTGCATGGAACTTATTAGAGTTTTGTTATGGAAAGGCTCTGTTGTTTTTTTTTCTTGACAAACTATACTAAAAAATATTTTCTTCTGAATATAAATATTTCCTTAGCTACCGGTACTTAATATTTTGTGTCTGTTATCCTTGTTATCTTTACATAGATAGTGTCTGTTTCAAACACTTGCTGTGTTCATTTCATTTTGAAGAGGACTCTGTTTTAACAGTATTACGATAAGAGTAAATAATTTAGTTTTTTTTTTAAGTCTCTGTTGTATTGTCACATGCTTAGTATTTAAATACAAATAACAAAGAGATAACCTAGGTTGAATCAGAACTTTTAGATTAGAGACTGCAGGATTAAATTATCTTTGGCTATCAGAGCCAGGTACATGTACAAAAAACTTTTCAATATATACTTTGACCTATAATTGTTTACTTTTTACACATTGTGACTTGGATGGATAGTTTTCTCATTGGCACTCATACCACATCTTCTTATTTATATTTAATGCCCATAATCATGTCAATAAATTGGAAAAAAATATGTTTTGATTATGAATCATGAATCAATTAAAGTAGGTAATGCCAAAACACATAATTAGCAATGCCTGGTGATAAATCATCTGTATCTCATATGACAAAATGGCCTTTACATTAATGTTTTCTCTTATCAAGACCATAAATGTTACTGTAAGTTCAGAAATTATTGCGTGCATTTATTATTCCGATTTTGTCATTTTAGACTTAAATGCGATTTTATTTTTTACGATTTTGAGAAAAATCCTGTTTAATTCATTTAAAATATTTCAAAATGCGAGTTTAAATTATTGCGTTTACAACTCTGTCGCATTGTTCGCAATAATAAAAACCTCGCAATAATTTCTGAATTTACAGTACTTAGTGCATGATTGAGGCTACCAAATTGCAAACTTATTGATAATTTTATAGAGGAATTGGTGCCAATTTTACAGAGCCTTTTCCTTTAGTTTTTACATTTGTCCATAGTCTTGAACATTTTGCTGGAGTAACTACACTCAAAATGAGTCCACTCCTAGACAGGAAGATAGATAGAGAGATTTCTACATATATGTTAGGCTTAAAATGTAATTTATTTTTTAGATATTTAAACTATCCTCCTCTCATATTAGATATTTAAACAAAGAAAGAGTTCCAATGGACGACTTTCTTCTTATATATCAACTCTATGTCCACAATGAATTCACAACAAAATAAAAACACTTGTAACTAGACACTCAAAGTAATAAAGATTTAAATTTCCAATAAATTTACAAATTTTTGTGTATTGCCAAGAAAGATCTAAGAACTTCACAAAATTATAGGTGTTTAAAATTGCTTGCTGTATAATCTTGCGGGGCATAAATTTTACATTATTTGAAGAGGTAACACATTAAAATATTTGGTCTATGTATA